CAGTTGTACAATGTGATCGTGTCGAATACCCTTTAAAATTTTTATTTCTGATTCTAAATTTTCTAACAACTTTTTAGTAAGCTTTGATCGCAGCACCGATTTGATCGCAACAGGCTTTTGGGTTTTCTGAAATTTGGAAAACGTTTAGTTAATTGGACAATTAATCCATTAAGCATTGTATATAATCAGGACTGCAAGGAAGAAGTTGGAGGGGTGGAGGTCAGCTGGGGTTCCCTTCCTTACCAACGCAGAATTCTAAATTTCATACCTTATGATATCCCTTGTAGACTGTTGCAAAAGAGCCGCGACCAATTTCCGTACCAACTATGTAGTCGCCTACGCTTGGAGCCGGTAGTTCTCTGGCATCACGATCTTGAGATCTATTAGATGCCATTTCCGAAATACGCGGTAAAGTCTTTACATTAAGATTTTCTTATGTAATGGCTGAATAACTTTTATATATTTTATGGGCCAATTTTTCCGGCATATCGGACTATAAACCGTTAGTATTATTTATACTACTGCGTCATTACTGTATTACTGTATTCTCAAGTGATCATATCCTAATCAGAAATTGTAAATTGCATCATCCCGGAGTGCACCGGAGTAAGTTGTTACTGTTATGGAGTGAACCCAGTCCAAGTTGGAGGAAACCTAGAAATCAAAGACTGAGTAAATCCATATAAATTATATGGTCCGGTACAAAGGATTTGCATCTCAAAAAAATTTTTGACACTAAAATACGTATATGTTTATTAGAATATAATTTTAATTATTGCTTTGTGCAGTATAGATGACACCTATTTTAAATTGATTAATATTAATGGTGCTATACTGCACAAGATCCGCTAATTTTACCGGGGAAAAAATTCACCGGGATGCTATACCCTGATCCGTTGGGTACATACGGTCAGGGTATTTTTGCTAAATACCCCGTGATCTTGATATAGTGATCGGGGTATTTTATCAAAAACCTACTATCTAACTTACGTTAGGAGTAGTGATAGGAATCGACTAAATATTAGTCGGCTAAGACGACTAAAATCAACTATATGGGCTAGGTGCTGAGAAAAGGGACGAAATTGACAATTTTTTTAAATGTTTTTTTGCATAAATCGAGATTAAGATCATTTGGGTTGTTGCCCAGCAAAACCATGCTTAGAGTATATATTTTTTATATACTCTAAGCATGGTTTTGCTGGG